ATTCGTTGACGTTTTAAATGTTCATAGAAGATAATGTACATTGTTCAAACATTTCTAAATTTTAATTAGCTCAGTATGGTATTATTAGGTACAAGGATCGAAGGAACGAGAATTTAATCTTCGGTACGAATTTTAAAGTTTTGTATTAGATTGACCTACGAAATCTGTCAAAATAGGAATAATACGAAACGATAATATAGGAAATAGTATAGGTAGTATATAGGAATAATACGATACGAAATCTGTAATAATATATACGAGGTCTGAAATCCAAATTTAGCCAATATACAAGATTGGGGGGAAGGATTATTAGTAAGGTGGACTAATGACGCCATTCCTAGGAATGCACCATGTTAGGTAAAACCACCGCTATAAGTTCTTACAAATTTGTCACGACGAGCTAACCGAGCTGAATTCATGCGCACCCTATCATCTTCTACTAGTGCCCCGCCAGTGTAAACCATTAACGCAGAGAGGTGCACCATTCCATTAGTATTAAATATATATATATATTATATGTATATGAGATTATTTACTTCTTCATACAACACTAAATCATTTAAGTCGACAACCCTGACAATCACAGTAAGGATACTGTACTGTTTCGAGTTTGAAGTCCGTTACTGAACCAATGTAAACGTATTATACTTATCTTGGAAGATAATGTTATTGTTGACCTGATTTATATAGGTAAACAAAACAATAATAGATAATATAGAGATTGACGTTTGCAACACAAAACTTCTAAAATTAGAAAAAAATATTAATTAATTAATATGAAAAAGAATAGAGTTGCTAGAAAACGTACGTAAACGAAATTATCAAGAAAAATGTCATATACTTAGGTACTCTGTGACGCCAATTGATCCTAAAATTGAACCAATAAATTAATTGACCTTAATTCGATTTGGTACAGACTATAGACAGTAGTATACGCACACGATACGTCATACGGCTGGACCGAATTATATTTAACACTAGCTGTTCCCGCGACTACGTTCGCGTGGAATTTATTTTTATACTTTTTTGTTCTAAAATAAAAAAAAATCTAAAAATAAAAGTAGCCTAAGTTACTCCTTATTACATCAGATACCTGTCAAAAAAAGTCCCGTCAAAATCTGTCCAGCCATTTCAGAGATTAGCCGGAACAAATAGACCGACAGACAGACAAAAATGATAAAAAATGTTATTTTGCTATGTGTACTGTATATATATTCATATTCATCTAATAAAAAACGGTTAAATCAATATTACAAACACTCCAATTTTATTTATATGTATAGATGTATAGATTTAATGTGTACTATTTCTATTGGACTCTATTCCCAGCTATTTCTATTGGACCTAGTCTGACAAAGCAATTATAAATATGTTCTAATTTGTAAAACATGAGTACGTCCCCTTTTTTTAAACCAAAAGAAATACAACTAAGTTTCATGGATCAAAAATGTTAAAATTACAAAAAGTTTAATGTGAACGATCCAATTAATATGAATAATTAAATATGATTTGTATAGGTCATAATTTATTAACATTGAATTTGAGTGATGTGGGTTCAAAATTTTAGTAAACAAAGTAGTAGGTACCACAACGTACCTCAAGTTACGACTGTTATTTATCCCAAAGGAAGTATGTAGTTAGAGGTAAGATAATGCTGTGGTAATATTGGTGTAATTGTTAAGCAGAGGTTAAACTATTTGTAACCTTTGTTCCATTATGACTTATATAATATATTAACATTAGCTTAGAAAAAAGTTGTTACTAGCAAACAACAAGTAAGCACTTTACAAAACATTACCAACAAAACAGAAGTCCGTGTTCTAGACAACAGCGTCTTATCTGCTGTAAATGTCCTCAAAATAATGAATCAACCGTCTATTACACAAAGAAATAATATATTTCGTAGTCTGACAACTCATTGTCCCTGTAAGTAGGACAAAATGTTGTAAACGCGCAGTAATATTTGTTAATTTTTTTGTATAGATAACAAAGATTTATGTTGTTATATTCATGTCAAAAAAATTAAAATTCATTCATAAATTGGCGAAGAGATCGTATAAATCTAAACTATCTAAAAAATATGTAATAAAGTACACTTCCTTCTTGAAGGTGATAAATATATAAGCAAAAATGCGTATTTAAGTCCCGTAATTACAGAAAATAGATTGTGTCATATGTACATACATAACCAGAAACTGCCGCTTGTAACTATGCAACCGTCTAAAGTACGTGGTGGCATGATGTACGTAATTTCATTAAGTATTTGTTATTTTAACGTAACCGTAACTTGATTCTGTTAACGGATTTTTTTTCAATGACTACACTGATATGCATTGTATTTCCAAAATCTCATAAGATGCGAATAAGAAATTAACACAAAAGGTGAAAGAAATTGCTAAGTTGATTTTTTTTACAAGGGGAAATCCGTTATGGTGATCCGCACGTCCCGGGGAAGACGCACGGATACTGCCGGACTCCTACCGGCTAAAACCCCTTGGTGTCCTCTGCTCGCTACTAACGCCAGGGTACGGGATCGATACATTCCACCGTGGAAAAAGTCAACGGCACGTGGTGTTTCCAGGCCATGTTGCTTAACTTCAGGGATCGGACGAGAACCGGCGTTTTCAACATGGTATGAACGTTGACAAACAAGTTGAAATTAAAACCTAACTTAACCTAACCAAATAATTTGTCCAGCACCGTAAAACTTAGGCGTACTTCTCATCCGGAAAGACCCGTTTAACAATAATTGGTATCATGATAATGATGACACGAATTATATGATTCGTTGAGTGTAATGCATATTAAACTTTTAATATAACTTCTAGTTACATTGCCTTTTTATAATCCATGACCGTGAGTGAGTGCTAAGATAATAATGAACGTCTTGATCTCACTCTATCTATACTACTGGGGCTATTAAAAGCTGCACTGTTTTCATATGACTCGAACGGTCTGTGGAGTTACTTTCATAGAATGATTGATGTCGATAACAAACCGAATACAGATGCTTGCCTAAGACTTGATATACCATTATATCAGATAATTTATATTTTCACGCAAAATATATTACGACCAAAAAACTGAAAGAGTGAAATGGTAGAACGTAGAAACAGTGCACATGAGAATGTTAATTCTTTAATATTATTACGTCCTGGTTTTTGAAAAATACAATCATTTACAATCATAGTTTGTATTATGAAAAACCCAATAGCAGGGAAAACACTCAATACCATTTACAGTGTACTGTATATGTAGGTACGTAACAAAATGACGTAAAAATTTAGTTATGTGAAGGGTTAACTACTTACTGTATTCTCGTAAAACGAATGCGTTTCGACACATTTCTTTAACACTATTTTCTGGCTATGGATCCATAATCCCCCATTCTGGTGGCTAGGTTTGGTTTATAAGTTTTCCTTCTCCTCTTTGTTGTCCATGGTGCTAGCTTTAGAAATCTCGCAATTTGACTAACCACATCAGATTAGATAAGTAGCAAAGTAGTTTTGCAGCACACAGACAGCAGTATTGCTATTTTAAATAACCCTCGTTTGTCATGACTGTTCCAATAGCTTTTGGATTAGATATGAATTTAAGTTGTTTCGTCAAATGTACTCTGCTCTATCACAAATACCTTAAAAGTGTTTACTTGAATAAGGAGTTGCCATTAATAAACAGGGAAAATAAGGCAATGATGTTTTTATATGAAGTAGCATATAAATCCATCTATGTACGTGTTTATCGCATCCTGTACAAACCAATTAATATCTATATGCGAGTATATAATCATTTAGGCCGCGGAATCATCATTATTAATCGCGGAAATCATCTAGGCCCGTTATAGATTCTCTAAATAATGGGCAGCAACTGAGTATAGCTTTGTGAATGTTATTTACATACTAACATACCAGTTGCACGTGTAACCAAGGCCACTACGTGGCCTTTAAATGGTCGTTCGTCCGTAAGTACCTTATCAAATGTTGCGTGACATAAAAAAATCGACCAAAGCGGTTTGATATTAAAGAGAATACTGAGTACCTATGTAATTGAAATGTAACCACAGGAAAAAAGATAAAGTACGTAGTTGTCTAGTATAACTTTATGTATAGTATACTTGGAGTATGGTTTGTTAATAATGGAAATCAATTAAAATATTTAGATGTTTGAAAGAAAACATTTGTTGATTTGTATCTTAACAGTACAACAAAATACTATGTATGGAAATGACAAAAATATATTTTTGTGTTGTATAATACAACAACAGTAATGGAATCACTAGTATATATATGTACATAAATATTGAAAGTCTGTTGTGGAAACATCATCTAAAGCTTTAAAAATAATAAGTTAAAACAAAAATTTCCAATTAAACAAGTTGGTATAACAGGTACAACACTAAAATTGAAAATTTGATATTTACACCCGTCAAATTTTCTCTAGGACTAAAAAACAGACTATAAAATAATCAGAATCACCCAGTAGATGTTAGAAGTCACAGTGGATAATTCCATCATAAGATATTACAGCACAGATTATATATCAAATAAATAACATAGTACCTAAAAAAGAGATTGTTGTGATGATAAATGGTAAATAACAGAATTTACAAAATTATAATTATCTCTGAATATTTAGTTCTAAATTTGATTTGAATTGATTAATTGTGGCAATAATTGTTAAATTAAATGAAGGAATAATTATTTAAACCATTTATGGTATAGACAAATAGGGACTAGACAAAAAGAGGTAGCAAAACAAATGTGGGTGACATGATATAAAAATGATAGGTGGAATGCTACGAAGGACTTTGGAAAAGAATGCATGATCAAAATTGAAAAATCATAGGAAGTTACCAATAGAAAATTATTCAGTGATACTTTGACCATCCATCATAAATGAAAGATGCAACAACAGTAACATCAATCAACAATAGGCAATTTTTAAACTATGTAACAAATCTATATGACACAGAAAACCATAACAAAACAAAAAGAACTCACCGTCTTAGGTGACTGATTCTTCCTCAGCAACTTTTTGTGTTCATTGAGAAGTATCCCTGTAGATTTATTCTCCTCACTCACTTCACACACTTCAGCTACATTTTGACTAGAGATTTCTTCACATATTCTCACAGAACAGTCCACTTCATCCACCCAAGAATTATCAACATTTAAATTGTTATCAGTAGTACCAAAAGTTGTATACATGGAATGTCTTAATTTTATTAGCTTATCTAAGGCACCACAGCCTGAATCACTCATCTCAGAATCAGAATACTCAGTTTCAGAATCTTCAGCCTTATCTCCAAATACATCAATTGAAGTATAACAGCTGTCTGGAGAATCTTCAAAAAGTATAAAAGAATCTTCAGACTCACAATCAGATGGTCTCCAGGTATATTTTAGTTGTGGACTATCAGAAAACACTACTTGGAATGAATCATCACTTTCCGCTCCAGAATTTGAACAAAATCGTCCAGAGATCTCATCAAAGTAATCCACACTGTCACTAAGAGGTGTGCAATCAATTTTAATTCTAGGAGAATGTTCTGCACTTGATACATCATCATTCAAATTTAATTCCTCAGAAAACCTTCGGTCTGTTGTAGCTCGCCTTGATCTTAATCTTCGTTTTTCTACAGACAGCCCATTTTTATTTTTATGTTTATTTGACATATTCATAGTAGGCATTCCAAGCTGTGTCTTTAGTGATTCGGCAGATGGTACTTTTATACAAGAATCTGAATAATTTAACATTAAATTAGTATTATTCTTATTACTTTCATGGAGCATTGTTTCCAGGTTCAACATTTCACATGATATGAAAATTTGTTTGTTTATCATAACATTATTGTTACATGATACAATACCAGTTTTTTCAATTTCAGCAAGAGGATTCGATTGTACAGTATTATCTGTATTGTTTTTTAATTTATTTTCACTTTTTGAGAATTCAGTTTCTTTGTCATTTTTCTGTAATTCATTCACAATTTCTGTATGCTCTTTAACTGGACCAGTTTCTACCTTCATTTTGGGTGCATCTATTTCCAAAAATTCTAAATGTTGTACCTGCTTTGGAACCACACAAGTTAAATATTGAAGATTTGGGTGAGATATAAAGTCTTCAGGTGCAAATGCATCTTCAAAATTGTCTTCCACTGAACTAGATTCAACAAACACTTTTTTAGGTCTCCTTGAACGGTATCTATTTGGTTTTGGTGTAATAGGAACAGATTTCGAGCTTAACAGTTGTCGTATACCACTCAGTTTCTCCTCACAGGCCACGGCTGGATTCTTACCAGCCACGGCTGTATTCTGACAGTCTTCAATCATGTCTAAGGAGTCTTTGTAGCAAGATTCACGAGCCCCAATATTTTTATTTTCAGTATTGGATGTCTGCCAAAAACCGGGCGATGTTTCTTTATTGACTACGCCGTAGTACTGCTCGGACTCCGTGCGACCCATAATTTTCGAAATTGTGTGGTACATGTTCGAGAGCATATACTGTACACCCATGAACCAAGTATGTTGTGATCTGTTCTGGATTTTGACCGCCTTATCGACGGTGGTGTCAGACATTACTGTTTTTGACAATTCCCTGGGAAACATTTCGGGAAAAAACATAGTTGCAGATTCGCTTTTCAACTCTGTCCGGGTGTCAGTTGAGTAACCAGCGACGGAGAAACTCCTTGAAATGTGGTTTAAATGACTAGGCTTGCGCCAATCCGACACAGAAGTATTCATTTTAAAACACTTTTCACTTGACACCCCGCTAAGTCTAATGGAGGATGCTAAGGCATCTTGATCTAAGCAGACATTGTTCCGCACTTAATTAAACTACTACAAGGAAAAGGATCGTGAAGAAATCTAAACCACATTCTTCGGTCCAAGGTGATAGGTACACTGGAATCGTAATGTAATACTTTGTCCAAATCCGATAAACCACAGTAATTTCCGTTGCACAAAATCAGAGGTAAAAATCCACTAGTTTTTTCTTTGTTTTGGTTTTTGTATTTGAGCTCCATTGTAACGAAATTGTAGAAATACACGTCTTTAGAGTTCGGCCATTTTGAGAAAATATGTTGTGTGCGTTTTGTCTTTTCTTTATATAAAGAAATAGAGAGGTGCGCTTTAACGAAAAGCCTGCTTTCCGCTGAAAGCGTAATGAAAAGCAAGTCTATAATTAAGGTTATTACTTAGAACTGTAATTGTTATTATGACGTTAAATAATACTAAATGACATATAAAGAATCACATATTATGGTATTTGCATTAAAATAGAATAAAAGTCTCCATTCTCCGTCATTTAAATTAGGTTACCACTTATTTTTAATGTAATTGGTTAATTTACTATCAACTGTTTTATGTTTAGGCCAATATTAAAAAAAACACTATGTTTAATTAGATAAAAAAATAAATATCAAAAAAAAAATATAAAAAAACATTATAAAGACGAAAATGTTACTCTTGGTGCTTAAATAATGCAATGAAGAAGTTTGCTGTTAAAGATGTTCCGGTTAAAATTATTTTCCATCATTTACTGGCTTCCTAAATTTTACAAATTACATTTACAAACTTAAAAATATGTATAAATGAATATGGTCAGTCTAATAAATGATAATCGCATTGGTTGAATATCATTATTAAGCCAAGCAAATACTTATATAAATTAACTGAGAAGTGCAACCAACTGTGAAGCATTGTTGTTATTATTCGTTGTAATGATTCAAAGTATTTTCAGTCACAGCCAAATTAAAGGAGTATTCAAGAAACCGAAAGAAACCAATCCGTAAAGAGAACCGCGTGTATTAGAGAGTCGCAATATGAAATATACTTAAAAACGAATATTATTTCATATATATATATATAAGTAATATTGTATATTTTCTTGTCAGTTCATTGTAAGTAATAGAGCACAGGTGTTTTCTTTTACTAGTGCTCCTGGTATCTGTCGTATTAAATTTGAGTAGAGCGTATACAATTACTTTTTGACTGGAGTAAGCGTTTTATGAACCGAGTTTATAAAGCACGCTTTTCAGTTAAGTCGTTTATTTTCTAAATAAACTTTACTCCACAGACTATACTTTCATTATACATTTATCGGTATCGTGAATAAAACATTTTTTCCTTTTTGCAAGAGACTAATGTTTTTTTTTTCCCTCTCTTTTAAAGAGACTAATGTCGTTTATTATGCCACTGACAAACAAGAAACGAAGATAATAGAAATATTGTAAAACTTTAAGTCGGACTAAAAAGGATTTGTACCCAGAGGCGTAAAATAAATAAATAAAAAAAAATTAAACTCGGAATTAGTGATGGGAAACAAGACTTTTAACTGTGTAAGTAACCATAAATTATATTTATATTTTATGTATCGACATAGTGACCTAAGCGATCTATTGTTCATTAAAAATTGTCTAATGAACTGATTTTTTTATATCTTTATTAAATAATAATAGTTTTTATAATCCATTAGTTTTTAAATTTTTATAGCTTTGATTTGATTAATTTTCCGATATTTTTTCTGTTAATTTAATAATCGATTCTTCATTGAATAAAAGTAAATGTGAAATAAGAAATCCCACAGTCGATAATTTTTCACATTTAATATCAGAGTCTTTTAGAAATCCTATGATACTATAGAAGCATACTTCCCTAGCACCATAGATAAAACAATATTGTCAATATTATTATTTTATAGATAGTAAGTCTGTTAGTTTGTTACTGTTACTTGCTCGATTAATCTGTTTATTGATAATTTTAGAAAAATGGTTGTATCATAATACAAAAATAATAATAAATTGTCGAAAGAAAAAATAGTTCATTACATTCACTGAAAGAAACGCATCGTAATTGTTATCTAAATTTACAATCAGTGAAATCAGAAAAATGTCTACATTATAAGTTAAAGGTACAAACCTCAATGAATGATAATTACATTAGGTTAAAGCTGCAAGATCAACATACCAGAACACCCAGATTAACTATTTTACTAGGTGGTCATTACTAGACCTTTACTTTATTTATTATCAAATTACGAGATAGAAGTGTGTGGTGATACAAGAATGAGCGATCAAATAGTGAGGCATAGTTCTAACATTTTGTGTGAAATCACTGCCTCCTTAGGAAAAAATATAATCTGGCGCGACACTGAAGAAATAAAGATGGGAATGAAGTCGTTTATTTTCTTTTGACAGTCTCAGTTGTCTAGCTGTTTATCACATCGCGTGGAGGTCGTCCTGACATGCTACATTGCTAGCATTAAGGCCCTATTCCCCATTATTAACAATCCCATTCCCACTTTGCGGGATAAGGACACTAACATGTGTTATATTCTGTTCATGTTATATGAAGCTATTGATATATATCAAATTTTTTTGTAACTGGGATCACAAATAAGCTGATGACCGATATATATGAATAGTACCATGGACATTACATTATATCACACCATTGGATGTCTATGGTATCACTGCACTGCCATTCCAGAGGAATAAGATGTCATGCTGCCATACCCTGTAATTTCACTGCTGTATCTCACTTACAAACCTAAACATATCTTGCAAAGCTTATGTCTTTTGGGTGAAATATTCAAGACCCACAGAGGAATTTGTATAAAGTGTACTTTTGAAAACTTGTGTTTTTTTTTGTATTTTTTTTAAACAATATATGCTGCAATTTCAGAAGGTCAATATAGGCCTTAACAGAATGCATTTTATCCTGTTGTATTATAATATTTTAAATAATTTGTAATGAAAACCATTTAAACTCAGACTAACCCTATGAACTTAATAGGAATTCTAATAAAATAATTTTAAAATGTGTTTTTACATAACTAAGCAGTGTGATCTTAGCGTAACAACAGTCTGCAGATTTTACCAACCAAAGAAACGCCACTACAAATCTTATGTAGTTGTAGTGACGTTAGTGTAGTCGTATGCACACCTAAAGAGATAAAGACTATTACTCTTAAGAATTTCCTTTAATTCTTGCACCTAACGAGTTTAGGTAGCAAACTTTGAAAAAGGGAGAGCACAATAGATCTATGCAGGTTGCAGTGTTACTCAGCACTACACAATTGCCAAATACCCTATTAAAAAAAAAGAAATCTGATTTAACTTAAATGAACCTATTCGCAGGTTACAACTATCTAGTTATGGGTTCTGAACAATCTTCAGTTCCACCGAAGAAACAAGTGCAGAGGGCGCCACCTGTGCGTCGTGGTCATACTATAGCTGTTACAAATGCACCAGGTATTATTATTGTATTCTGCCAGAATCTTTGATAATAGTCTTGAATGATGTCTGAGACTTTCTGTGCTATAATAGGCGTATAAACCTATCTATTTATGAATACTGCTTTAATAACTGAAAATTAAAAAAAAATGTAAGCATACAGATATGGACACTGATGTTGTCCGATACGATGTAACGACTCGCACAATCTCTGTATGTTTGTAATTTGTTTTGTTGTCTCTACTTGACAATAGATGGTGGACATAAGGACAGAAAGTCCTGTTTATATGCATGACACTATTGACGATACCTCGGACATTAAGCTATTTTTGAGGACCCTCCTCAATGTTATTATAATATAAGTATGGGTACCTGCACATTATATTTTTGGACATTTATTTGTGGCATATAATTTATTTTTGTTTAAAATGCTAAAAAAATATGCTGTTTCAGAAGCTTGTAGAAGCACAGATCCAACAGCCAGTGGTAACAATTCTCCTGGTGCTAGTGTTTGCTCAGATTCTGAGTTGCCATACATATCATATACTGTGGATAGACCTATTGGAGGTAGGTTCTCTATTTCATGTTTTTAAAACATGTTTCAAATTTTTTAGGACACAATTGTCCTGAAATTGTACTTAGATATCCACAATAAAATACAAATGTATAAACTTGTTGAAGTATGTTAAGAAGAGTATTTTATTACTAGAACACAGTAGCTGTGACCCACCTGATGGTAAGTGGTGACCATTTCCTATATATAACAGCACAACATCTTCACATTGTTACACCCATAGTACTCATGTATTGCCATTCCAGAGGCCTCTTATCTGATGTGAGACAGGATTAAATATGATTAATTAATTGGGGCCTTAACTTTGTTGATTCTTGAGCATTAAATTCCTATTCAAGTAACTTTAATAGGAATTTGGTACCAGTGATGGTTATGGCATAAAAAGTCCGTTTTAACTTTAATTTTGGAACTCTAAATATGATGTATTCATTCATTTTAATATTAATATTCTTAACAATATTACAGATTCACCAAAAACATCAGCAAAGACTCAAAAATCAGGTGATACTAAAAAATCTTTACTCCAAAGGAGGCAGTTAAGTTTGCAGAATCGGAAGAACAAGCGAGCACGAGACATCGTGGTTGTGAAACACGCGTCTGATACACTGTTGGATGAAGACATTAGGAGATTACAGGTAAACATTTGTATAACATATATTCTATGTGGTGATGCAGTAAAAATACACTATTATGTTTCATCATGTGGTAGGCATTCTCTTATGCATATGAGAGAACAGCACAAATATATTGGTGTGAGAGAAGGACAAGTCGAAATAGATTTACGAATTAAAATATCGGGAGGTCCATTGTTATAGTGGTCTGGTGCTGACAGGGTGCCGGTCTAATTCCTTGCCATCAGAAATGTTGAAGGGTAAACCAAACTGTCAAGCTACCTGATATGCATTGTCATGATGTGAAAAATGTGTATGACAATCATACACATTTTTCTCGGTCAAGTCTGCATTCTGTATGTGACTGCAAAAAAAACTATAGAAAGTACTTAAATGTATATGTATGTGATTAAGTTACCTATTCTTTAAATTCTTTAAGTTTAAATTCTTTAAATCTAAATTAAATGGCAGAGAAATTAAAGGATACTTTATAAGAGCTATTTGATGACATTGTGTTGCTAGCGCTCATGTAAATAGCTTGTGTGCTTTTCTAGTGACATAAAAGTAAGTTATGAAAATCTACCATAATAAGTGTGTGTTGTCACAATCAAAAAAATACCTTTATTTAAAGTAGATGTATCTTTCGTGTCGTTTGATTTTAGTAGTAGCTTCCAAAGTCTGCATGCCCGTAAGTAGTTTTGGTTCCAATGGGTAATTAAACAGAACATGAGCAGTAGTACCATATTATAAAACATGTTACTTAACGCCTGGAAATTGATAGGTTTCCAGGCTTTACCAAATAAACATATATAGACATCGTTATTGTCTATATATGTTAATTTGGTGATTGTTCCTGTTTAAATATATTTTAAGTCTTCTCAACTAGATATTATAGCTATAGCATGTTCTTTATCAGGAAATACCAACATTCCTGCCCATCATGAGAGGGACCCTTGGATTACCAGGTGCAAGGGACCCTGAAGTGTTAGAAGGTAGGGGAATTTCAACTTTTAGTAGTATTCGTTTAGGACTATGTGAATTTATTTATGTTACTAAAAAATCTGTCCGTAGGTCTTGATTATCGTCCTTGGGTCCGGTTGACTACGAGATTGCAAGCCCATCTCGCGGCTTGTGCCCACCCATTAGCTGCTGAACAAATAAATCTGGCTACTAAAGTCAAAGAGGTAAGAACGATTATTCTTGTATACTATACGCTATTTGTGTTTAACTGCCAAAGAGGCTTTTAGTAGAAATTAAAGTGTGACTTTAATTTCAACTTAAATCCATATATTAGTCTATAATTGTTTGTTATTTTTTGACACATTCCATTGTTAATATGTTCCTAATGTTTGAAATTCAATGAAAGGAATTGATGAATATTTATAGATTGTTACTGGTTTTGAAAATAATTCCGCAACAATTATACAATTTGACACAGCAATATGTTTACAGGTATAAGTTGCAGAAGTAACTATTTATTCAAAGGCTTTTTTAACTTTTTTAACGTTATTTCATTAATTTTAGTAATTAGGGTAATACTGTAAGAAGGTTCATGACTGGAGCTACCACATAGCTACTTAATGGATTTATATTATTTGTTTAATTCCGTTGCTATTAGTGCGTCATCATAAATATTCAGTGCGATCGGAATTTGATCACTATTAGAGAAGGTCGTAGTGGTAGTCAAGTTTCCGCACTGAATATTTGTGATACTAAATGTAGCGGAATGATTAAAAATAATATAAAACCATTAAGTATCACTAGTCCATATCACTATATGGACTTGTCCAAAATAACACGTACAATATACAAATACAAATACAAATATCTTTATTTTCCCTGAAAAGTGGTTTACAGGATTTTAATAATTATAATTTATGTATCACACTTTTCACCAGAAACTGGCATGCAAAAATTAAAAGTGTCCATTTATTATTATAAGATTATACATATTTCTCAGTTTCATTTTAATTTTCATCATTATTAAATTAAATTTAAATTTTTGGTATACTCGTATTTCGAAATACGAGTATACCAAAGCTGTTTGAGGTTATGTAAATTACATTGAGTGGTCGTTCTAGCTAACAGTCACAGCCTATTGTCTAATATTAATGGCATAATTCATTTATAAATTAAATATTTTTCTGTTTACAGTCGGATACAGAAATATCTCGTCTGTACTCACAAATGGTGGAGAAACAGCGCTCAAACGCTCGCCATGCGGAACGGTTGTCAAGGGTTCATGAGGTCGGTAATCAGTTGTCGCGGTGCAACTCTTTGCTCAATCAAGTAAGTAAGACGTCGATTTACGTAAACCTCAGCAATAAACTGGTCTAACCCTCTGTAGGAGGAAGCTCCTCAGAAACCAAGCTTTATGCGTAAATTTAGTTTCTAAAGTTGTAGTTTTAAAGTTTACCAGTAATTATTTTTGATTGTGATCATTGTTAATGGACGTGCAATGTAAGGGTTTTGGTACAAATATTTCTTATTCATATTTATTCACAACTAAAAATTTGGCTTCCATTGCGATCTAAGAATTTTGTTGAATGTTGAATATCTTCAACATTTCTGAGTTGACAAAGTGCAGTTAAATTAATAACCTCTGCCATTTGTAAGAAACTAACAAGTATTTATACATTTCGTTCATTACATGTTTTTTTTCATTGTCTTCTATCATAATAACAGTACCGAATCTGAAATCTATAAAGTTTGCTATTTTAGGTACCTAATTATAGTGGCAAACAAGCTAACGGCTCACCAGATAAGCGGTAACCGTCGCCTAGAAACACAAATAGCACTACGAACGCCACGTTATCATGTGACAACCGTGATGATGTCATGCCTGTCATCCTGTAATTTCACAGCGTAAACATAACTTACAAAGCGAGATGCTTGGCATCTGAAATAGGTAAGACTGCAGTACCCGCCCAGACGACATTTACTTAACTTTTTATATTTGGACATAACAGTTTCTAAACTTGTTCCAGACCTTGCAAGACATAGAGGAGCTGAACAGCCTCTTACCTGAAGAAAAACGTCTTCAACCATTCATCTGGAATGACGAACGTTGAAATGGATCTACCCAAGTAATAAGATCATTGGAGAATCCTCAATTACGGCCTACAGCTGGCTAGCTAGCTAGCTTTTATTCTTGGCTTCGCGCGAAAAGCTTGTATTGTACCGTCATGTGATTATGTGTATTTATTACCATTGATTAATATAGACTGTGATTCTATTGTAGTTTATTAATTGACACCAAACTATACTCTAGTCCAACGTAACTGAATGGTAGAAGGTAAACAAAGAGGTCACTAAATCGACCATAGAGGGTCGAAAAGGTATAATTATAATAGCAGCTTAGACACTGTTAATTTACTATGTTTATAGGTATACAATATAAAATTAGAAAAAAATATAGTTATACTACTCGCAACCCACCCCGGTTTCGTACCCGACCAATATCCCATTTTGATTTAATAACATTAAATATTTATAATAAATAAAGTATTTATTTGGTTAAGATTAATATAGTTCAAACCGATAGGTTCGGAAATAATATTGCTGGAAGGTGATTCCACAATGTGGTTGTACATGCAAACTTTACCTCTATAATATTATAATATTTATGTATGAATCTAGGACAGGATTTTTCCTTATTACAGTAGTGGTTATCCTGTCTACGTTGGCGGTGTGAAGGATGAGAGGCTGAGTATGTGGCGTGACAGGCGACTTTCTTGTATACTATGTAAATATTTTTTTTTATTTATACTGTGTAAACATAATAAATTCCTTGGAAGTAACGACAAATGTTACAAAATATCATTGAATCTTCGAAGTTCAATGTCGAATAGTTACGAATCAAGTAATATTGTATGATTCTATATAATAGGCAATTTCGTATTTCCTAACCATAAAACTAAATTAAAATAATATTATAATTCTATGGTAATTACATAATAAGAATTAGGAATAATTATGTTATGTTTCATGAATAGTAACTGTATTATTTAGTTAAATAGTTGTCAAAAATGTCGAAAAACTATTACGTTCTTAGTTTTATATTATGAGCTACTAAATAATATTAAATAAATCTTATTAATATTATAAACGCGGAAGTTTGTGTGTGAATGGATCAAATGGATAGTTGGATGTTTGTTACTCTTTCACGCTAAAACTACTTATGTATTTTTAATAATATAGCTTGTAAGTATGTCAGAATAACAACCTATAAATTTCATGCAGTTGAAACCGCGGCCACAGTCACTAGGTATATACCGTGTATATATGTATTTATTTCTTTCAAGTCATCTAGTTCACTTTTTGTCAATGATTCATACCTACCTCTACCTAATACATATTTTGTTTGTTTGTTCCTAATACACTGCACAGTGAAAATAAAAGTCGTAAGTAAAGTCACTAAGAAATCATTATAAACAAATTAATATTGATTCAGAAGCCGATATTGCATAAATTATTATAATTAAAATATGAAGTAGGTACTTTCCCACAAAAATCATAAATTCTTATAATTTTTCATTTCATCTCTTTTTAAGTAATTGGATTGGCATATAGACTGACGACCACAGATCAAAATGCGGTTATCTGTTTTCTGTGATGACGGCCGACCTGGTGGTAAGAAGTACTGGTAATCGTAGCCCTTATACATAAACAGTTCCACGGACATGTGACGTTGTCACGTTATGCCCTTGATACCCACTCATAAGATAATACTCAAAAATACTTTTCGAAAAACTTCTAAGGTGTTAAGCCTTCACGTCCTGTAATTTCACTGCGTTTTCTCACTCTTTAACAGAAGCAGTCTACAAAACGCTGTTCAATGGTCAAAAAAGGTGAATCTGAAATATCTATGCAGACGTCTTTTTACAAAAACTACCTTAGTCTATTTCAGAATAATTATTTATATATTAAAAGTTAAATGCACATACAAAGGTGCACATGTTGGACTCAACACCTTGAAGCATTTTCTGTCAGTCAACCATTGGGTAGGTAGATATTTACGTGCGCGGTGCAGTAACAAAATTTCAAATACAAATGTAAAAGTAAAGACAATTTTGAATGCGATTAAACATGCATACATAAGAATATCTTATTACCTAACTGTACCTAAATTTTTGCTATATTTTCCTGGATATCTATCTGTAATGGATCGGTAGACTGTATGGGTATGTAATATTATATTATCTCTGGTATGGGTGTCTAAATGATGAAAACACGTAGTTTATAATAATATAATATATTAATATGCAGTTGCGAAACTATCAAAAGACAATAAGAGAATAATACAATAAAGTGAAAAATATCAAATAATATGACATATAAAACAGAACTCTTTAAAAATATACATTTAAAAATATTTAAAATATCAAAAGAATTCGGCGGTCGGTCGCCAACACTAACTATCTGGGAAAATATAGCAAAAATGATCGCCACATATATTCCAAACCACTTAATACTTGTTGAAAGATTGCCGCTTTCCTCATGGACTAAGTACTAGTTAGGATTAGAATGTAGTATACAACGCAAGAAGTAACAGAATGGATAGGTACTTTATTTCCAGTAACTATAAATCGTTTACTCGTTGTGAAATTTATCAGTTAGGTCTTAGATTTTGTCATGTTCGCATAGTGTACCTGGTAATAACTGTCATTCGAGAGTAGACGATTCCTAGTAAAATTGCCGAAGTTGCAGTAATTTTATTAATTTCTAATATTTGTTTGTTCTAATAGTTGCTGCTGTAATTCATTGCAAGATTTTTAGGTATAATAATAAATAAATAATGGACAACTAACATACAGCACCATCTAGTCTCTCGTTAAGCAGAGCTTGTGTTATAGGTACTAGACAACTGATATAAATACTTAGATTTATTTGCAAATACATATGTAATAATATAGAAAACATCCAGACCGTTACAAACAATCATACTCATGAATACAAATGATTGCACCGTGTGAGGAATCGAACCCGCTACCATCGGAAGTAAAGCTGTGTGCTAGACCACTGAGGCCGTCAAAATATATGGTTATGTATGAGTGTATATATAGTATATGTATGCTAATTGCTATTCATTAATACACGTGTATTCTCTATTACATAATTTATTTTTATTTCCACCGTCAACAGTTATTCTCTGCATCATCCATAGATGGCTGTTATAGATGTGATAGTACAGTTACAGAATTCCTTAAAAATTTAAAACCTTTCTAAAATATCGGCCTCTAAAAATCAGGATTAGTATCATAGTGGTGAAGGGGTAACGTATGTGAAATCGGATCTAATTACGCTAGGCGATACGAGACGATCTAGGAAACGTTCCGCTCCACACCACTGCTCCGATATTGCCTCTAATTTTAGTAGTGTGTAAAGGCTGTATTAGTCTACAAACTGGGCCATATCCATCACACAAACTAAAATTAAAGAAAAAAATATCACAACATACCTACGCACTTAACGTACACGCACCAACGCTCCAACCAAGACACGTTACGCAAAAACCTAGATCACCAGTGATTACGCACAAACTGATCGCGCCTAATGTAGTTTTTTAAACTATTTTACTCTTAGTATGAAATATTATTCATTGCGTTAGCCTTAATTTTTCAACCGACTTCAAAAAGGTCGAGTTTGTCAATATGTTAGGTATATAAAATTCTTGTAGGTATATAAAATTCTCTTGTCACAATTTTAGTTTCCATACTCCTCCGAAACGGCTTGAAGGTTTTTTATTGATGTTAATGGAATGGTGTACCCGCCTGCGCTAACGGTTTACGCTGGCGGTTCACCACTGGAGAATGATAAGATGACCATGAGGTCGGGTCGGTTAGAATCATCATGACAAATTCACCAGGAATTTGTCATTATGGTTTCCAGGGGGTACCGCGTGGAGGTCAATTTGACATGGTACATTATTAGCAATGGAGTCATCAAACCACATTACTATCTTCCACTAACCACAATCCTTTTCCCTTACGGCTGACGGTCTGAGAATCTGCTATCATTTATTTTTCATATAATTTTTATTATTTGGGCAAAATTTTGTTTTTTTATAATGAGGCATTAAAAATACATACAACCCTAAATTTTCGCTCTTACCATCATCCCCTATTTTTTAATAGCGATATTCATTTATATCAAAACAAATTTTGCGGGGTCACAACATGGTTGCACCTATTTATATACAAAAATAATTAGGTAAGAAACGTCAGAATGTAAGGTAAGAAACGTCTGCCACCGCCTTTATGAGATTTGAATTAAAATTGTTTCTGGCAATGATTAAAAAAGAATTGCACAATTTCAGACCAATTTTTTTTGTTTTAAGCGAATCAGGCTTGTACATGACGACAAAACCTACACACTTAATTTATATAAACAGTTACTTGCAAATATATCGTACTAAGAACATTGGAATCACCGTTTCTCGCAGAAAATATATTATCTGTAGTGAAGTCTTCGTAGTCAAACCTGGGTACTTTTGTCAGGCTGCCACTGTCTATATATCTACCTATATACCTACCTACATATATACATAGACTATGTGTATATAATTTTTATTTATTCAATAATCTTTATACACTGTTTCCCTCGCCGTATTCTCAGAGTAAAGTTTTATTAACTAGTATCTGTTAGGTAGGAGCTGGCCTTCAGGCGCTGCACAAGTCCGTCCGCTAGTTTGGAATGCCTTGTCCACTACTGTTCTTAATATCTTATATTGAAGCTGGATGGGTCTTATGGATTATAATGGAATGGTGCACCCGCCTGCGTTATCGGTTTATGCTGGCGCGGCATCAGTGGAGTATGATAAGATGAGGTAGCCCATCGTGGTAAATTTACCATGAATTTATCACGATGGTTTCCAACCTGACATAGTAATGGGGTTCCACATTACTAACAATCCATTTCCCCCAGCTGTAAGGTAAGCTGTGTCTAACAGCGTTAGATAGTTTGAAAACAAAACTAATGATAGCTTTCTCATGATTAACACTTGAATAATCTATTTATTCTACTAATTTATACATATACATAAATTTGTTTGCTAACAACCAAAGGACTCCAGTCGTCATTGTTTCTCTCACGATTAACAGTATCTACATTGTAAATGTATGTATTCATATCTGTTTTGAGACCTGCTACACGCTTCCGCAAGACCATACTACTTTGACGAGTAGTATGTCATAACTTAACAGCCAAAGGTTACCTGAGACCTACATATAGGTAATTTTGAAGTTGCTAAATTCTACTTTTGAATGAAATGTGACTGTGTGTAATTTAATGTTCAGTCAAGTCGATTCATAATGTCCATGACTTCGCAAAAACATTACAAAATGGTGCTCTCAATTTACCAATTACTTAATTAGTAAACCTTTGGAGAGAGTCATGGCCTAGTGGTTTAATACCTCGCCTTACATTTCCTTAAACGTAGAAGTTGGAATACGCGGACATAAAATTTATACCGTATGTAACGTATTGTGGTTTTACACCTTAGAGCAGTAAATAATTTAATATATTGTTATTGTTCTTGAACGTAGAATATTAATGATTCTTAAGTTCAGAACAGACAATCTTGATCTTGACCCATCTATTTTATTTAAAGAATCTTACTAAGATTATAAATGCAAAAGTTTGTGGGTATAGGTGGATGGACGTTTGTTACTCTTTTATGCAAAAACCATTGAATGGATTTAGATGGAACTTTACAGTGATATAGCTTATAAATCAGAATAATACATAGCCTATAAATTTCATACGGGTGATACCGCGGGCACAGCTAGTATGTCATAATTCAACAAAAAGTATTCCAACTCATTTTTTTTATTGATGATAATGGAATGATGCACCCAACTGCGCTAACGGTTTAAACTGCTGGGGCGCTAGTGGAGGATGATAAGATGAACATGAGGTCAGGTTAGTTAGCCCATCGTGACTCCAACTCATATCATGAACCACAAATTGTTTATATCACGCTTTTAAAAATCATACACGCCTTTAAATTTAACATATACATAGGTAGCAATTGGGATAGAGAATAATATAAATTAATATGCGAAACTTTTAAGGAATTTCAATTTTATACGTAAAAAAATATTATTTGCAAAGGTATAGGTATTAGGGCTGATTGTCACAGTGACATATTTCGCTACCGTCAATGTCAACTTTTAAGACATCTCTTGCTACATACAATTTCATAACTTGTCTCAGGCATACCTGCCGTCTATGCCGTTTTGTAAATTCTAATTAAGTAATCGACTATACGGAACTCACTCTTATAACAAGGGAGCAAACATTTTAAAAGAATTGAAGTGAGGTTTTGCATAAGTTATATAATTAGAAGCAAATATTTTGACAATAATATGAAGGCTATATGTACCTCTTTGAACAGAAAGATTATTATATTTTTTTGTATGTTATTGAAATGCCAAACAAGCTGTTGGACTAGCCAATGTAGGTACTTCATCAACAGCGCTATAAATATCACGCTATCATAAGACGCCTATGATACTCCTCATATCATCCTGAGGACTAAAATGTCTTGCCTCTTTTACTGCCTTATACACCCTAAAACAATAATATATTAGGTAGCATCTACAGTAACATACTTTCAACTGAGATATTCAAATTTCCAAAACTTTAAACGTTGTTGCATATATATTATAGTTAGATTGCTCAATAAAATTTGCCTTTGAATTGACCTACGATAAAAGGTCAAAATACTCATAGGTATATACCACGTTTTCTTGCAAAGTATAATTTACATAAAAAGGAGTAAGATATCAAGTTGATATTTATATATAGCCACATTTTGTATTTTGTTGGAGTTAAGGGCTATAATACACAGAAAGAATAGAACCTCGAAAACTTGGCGTGAGATTGCGACGTTGGTATTCTCATCCGAGGGACCCATAGCGGCGTCATTGAAAACGAAAGTAGGTATACGACCTTGTACTCACTTACGTCGGCCGACTTTATTTGAGGTGTGTGCTGAGTTACATAATCAAAAGATTCATTATTATAATAGCCTAGCAACATCGAACTGTATATGCCTCTAAAACCGACATTGACCCCATTTATCTCATATTATGGTTTTCTCATTTATAACATAAATACAATGTTACCATGAAATTATTTTTATGACCGACTTTAGAAAAGTTTAGGAGGTTCTTAATTTTTCTACGTGAAGCTACTTCTCACAAGAAGTAAAACATTCTCAAAGTACATTCTATACTTTATCGAGATCGATACTTAGTTCAATTCAAACGTGGATCAAAATTATTACGGCCTAAAACTGATAAAGTTTGTTACCCAGTCTAAAATCGTATCCGATAAACAGGAATTGGTTTTCAGTCGCTCTATAAGTCCTTCTGTGGTGTTTTGAGTGTTATCGGTTTTAGCTTATCCTATCATTCTCGAATCTGTAAAGGCTAGCTGCGGCCAACAACATGGGTATAATTAAAAAAAAAAACAAGTACTTAGTTTTTGTAATGTCAATTTTTTTGTGGCCTGATAACGTATCAATATTTAAATTAAAACTTATTTACACAATTTGTTTAATATTTCTAATTTCCTCAGATACTGCTAATTTGTATAATATGGTTAGATATTCTCGTAGACTTCTTTTTAATAATATCATTATATAAATATATAATGATATTACTAAAAAGAATCTATCTATTAGTTGTGCTATTAGCAATAATTAGATTAAATTCTCATAATAATCTTTAATTACGTAAGTAACTACGGTGATGTTGCCTTACCTAGTTGCCTTCTTTTTTCACAAATATCTCTAATTTAATAATCATAAAAGAAAAACAGTTGAAGTACCGCAATAGCTCCTTGAATTAATTAATTAACTCATTCATTTTATTCATAAAAAGCCAAAACAGTTACAAAATATTTATTGACGTAAGATATTCTTATGGATATCTACAGATACTATCGGATGTACGGGTAAACATTCGGGTGTAGGTCACGGATCTCTTACTATAGAATACCTGCCTAGAACTTTGTACAAATTGGTTTGCGTGGGTAATTCCATCTCTTGTAGGTATTTCTGTAACTAAGCAGCTTACTTTGTAAGCTATATTGGCACATCCTGTATGTAGCCCATTCATGCATAAATGAAATATCTCCTTTAGAAAGTATACAGGCTATCCTAAGAATATAAAAAACCTCGCTCCTAAGAATATCTTTTAATTTTTGTCCCTGACGGGCCTAGACAGCAAACTCTGAAAAAGGATAGTACAATAGATCTATGTAGGTCACAGTGCTACGGGTCTAATCACCCGATAATAGCCCAAACTCCTCAATATAAAAAGTTTTGTTCCATTTTAATTGGTAACATATAGTCAAATTATAGGATACGAAGGCATTATTATTACACCTTAATCCTCAGGACAAAGCATTAGGAGTACTACAGGTATCAAGCGACGATGAAATATCCGCGGTCCTAAAGTGGATTCAAATGAATAGACGACTAAGTGAGACGTTTGCTTGTCAACCACATAAAAATACCTCATAGATTCCCACGCTAGGGATGGTGACAGTTTTCAATAGATTTCAGAATGAATGGTGTATGTCTTAAGACAACTGCAATTGGTCACTCGCTATAAACGATGAAAAAAGTGAATCTAGTTAATTCCAAAACATTCCTAAGAATTACCATAAATCATCATATCTATAAATTAGATAAGACATCGAGTAACATACTTACAACAAGATTTCTTACGCAGAGGAGTCACTTACTTACATATCTATAACTTTATTAAGTACTTACATAAGTAGATAATGTATTTGTTGAATGCAATAAAAATCCATACCAATTAAAATGTGAAAGTGTGTCTGTTTGTTTGTTACCTTTTCAGGACTAAACGGCTGAAACGATCTTAGTAAAATTTTACGAGAAAGGATCAAGAGTATCTTTTACATAATAAAATATCTATTGTAACAGCATAATATATAAAACAACAATATTATATAAAAATCCACCCTATTAATACTTCCATCTTATTGTGTCAGAAAAAAATAACAAAATAGATGCAGTTGTTGCAATTTTATAAATATTTGTAGTCTATCCCACCTGCTCATTCCATGTGGAGACATATGATGCAAGTTCCATGATAATTGAAAAATACACAATTTTTAATAAGACCACCATATAGTCTAGTGAACTTAACCTAAATACAATATAACGCGTTGCAAAACTTGCTGCAATATAACTTTTATTGCCTCAGCTATAAGATCTAAAGTTTAAATTTGCCAGTTAACATAACGCAATACAGTTTTGCAAGGCGACTAGTGGCAACTCTTGGTAAGCGATGCCAGTTTATCCTATTACACGGATTCGTGTGGTTCTGTTTTTGTGTTTATTAAATATTTTGTTGTCGGTGAGTTGTACATTTAATTTACGAATTTTAAACATACCAAAGTTGTGTGCAATCTGAGAGAACGTTTGATTTCATCAAAGCTTATAAAATGTTTTTAAACTTTATATCATATGTGCTAGTATGATATTGAAATTGCTGAATTAATTTTGATGGTGTTTATCATTATTGTCTTAATCTTTTATCAGGACGAGGACGGCGAAAGTTTAGAATTGCATTTTTGCAATTTTCTTAATTTTAACTAGGTACATTTCTTAATGTGCTGTATAAACAATTTAACTTTGTTATATATAGTAACTACAACAGTTGAAGTAGATGACATATAAATACAGTGGGCAAGAAGAAAGCCTACAGTACTCACGATTCTAGAACATTAATTTACCCGAACAATTGTCTGTTCTATGGGAACGAACTTACTAAAACCTGACCCGAGGTTTGTACATCTACTAATTTCTTCACACTAAAGTCATATCCGTCAGGGATGAGTTGTCCTTCAGTTATTTCATTATATCCTTCCGCTGTTTTTGAAGTACTGTTTGTACTCGCTCCAATTTTCATCCAGTAGGCTGTAAAGCTCAGTTGCGGCAATGCAATTCATTAATATACTTAGTTCCAAAATCAATTTATTAAAGATAAACTCAATTACTTAAACTCTTATTCTTAAATGGGTTTTATACATATACCTATAATACATATATTCACATCTGTAATTGCAGTTGGGGTAGTTATAGGCATTCGTAACGTATGACGTTTCGATGATTTTATCTGAATCCACCGTGGTCGCCGAGCATACAAATTCCCTATTTAACTAACCTACCTGTGAAGTATTTGTAATATTTCCTTCAACGTCTCTTTAAACTTTACTTGATATATTTTTTAATCTGTGTCAAAATTAATCAAAAGTCAATTAAGCACTACTGTGCCCAGTTTAAGGTCAAAAATTTATACGCAATATACATACTGTTACGACATTTATATATGTCTATACACGCGGCTAGTATAGCGCAATAATTGATACAAGAGCCGGTACATATGATTATATATATATTTAATTTTAAAGTTTATATGAGCATAGAACGTTATATTGTAGCACCCGATTTCTACCATGGCATGGCCTCTCTGAAGGCCTATTAGTCTTACTTCTAAGAGTACTGTAAGGGCCGGGTGGTTACGGACTGTGACCTAAAACTCTCTATTTTATACACCCTTATACTACAGTGCTGATTCATCTCTGCGTTCTTTTACGCCTAAGAGGAGGAAAAGCGTCTACAATTATAGAGTAAAACAATAACAAATAGTGGATGAAGTGGAAAGGGTATACAATAATGAGGTCTCCTCCACTAAGATATGGATAACCTTAATAATAATAATAACATAGCTATAACATAGAGAATATAACATAACATAGAGAACAGTGGTACGATAACGACGTCATGACTGTCTTTTTATGTACATCTAGCTATGCCCCTGGTTTAACCCGTGTGAAATTTATGTCCTTTGTGTTATTCTTATGTAGAAGCATAAGTATATCATTGTAAAGTTTAATTAAAATCCATTCAGTAGTTTTTGCATGAAATAGTAAATGTTATATCCATCCATACTCACAAACTTCCCCGTTTATAATTTAGTAAGATAATGTAATGGCACCATTACATCTTACTCTACTTGCGTTAGTCGATACGCTGGTAGGCGACCAGTCAAAAGTAATTTGTATGAGGAAGAAGTAAGTTCGGTTAACTACCACCAGAAATTAACCATAATGGTCTTAGAGTATTCTATCAGAAGCCATATTAGCCCTTATTTAAATGGTGTCTTGATTTTAAATTTAGAATCCCTTAGATAGTTACATCTGGCTAATCCATTGTTTGGTATAGTTCAATTTGAATAGCCTGATTACATTTTCGTAAAAATAATGATTTTTTTGTGTTGCATTTTTTCCTTGTACTCGATTAATACTTACTACATATTCCGAATTACATAAAGTTATACTATGACTTATATTAAAAGTTTATATTATATTATTAAACTCTTCCCACGTAACAGCATCGGAAATTTTAATTTTTATTGTTTTTTTTTACTAATTATTTTCACGTACTGAGTGTAATCGGCTGAACTTGAAAAATGATGTTTTGTTTTCTGCGCTGTTTTAACTGTTTTGACGCTGAGTTTACGACTTTTTTGTATTTCTGCGGATCACATATAATGACATGAAAATTGGCATATTTATAAAAATGTAATTATATATGATTGGTAACAATCAAACAAATGTTTTATCTATCTATAGAGGGGACCGATTGGAGATCTACGGGGCATGGTACAGTACCAACAATGGGGCCTCAAGACTCCTTTACTGACAATTCCCTCCCCCGATAGTGTAATATTATACTGGTGATTTGATCCGATCGGTTATAAACAGGCCGGTATAATGATAACAGCGGAGTTTGTTCCCAGAGCTGTAAGAAAAGCTGTTTCCCGATGAAAGAAAATTACTAAATGAAATAATAATGGCCCAAGACGATTCACACAGCGTCATCTAGTCCGAAGTG